CATCTGGTGAAAATTTCATGTCATTAGCACCTCTAGTAATATATTTACTGAGAAAAATGGTGACGTGTTCAATACTTATTTTACCTGCTGTATTTATGGTTCAAATCTTAGCTTTTTGAATTATATTTAAGTATGCCACAAGTATAATTTATCRTTTCACTAGTCCACATTTCAGTATACTTTAAGTACACATTTATGAATTACTAAAACAAAAATACAATTTTTCCCATTTTAATTCTTAGATTATACCTGTAAGTTCCCACAGCACATTAGTTTTAGAATACTATTTATATGCTGAAATATACTTCAAGTATTCTTAAAGATAACCCATACTGTATGTATACTATACTGTAATCTGTTTACAAAATCACAAGACCGAATCTTGGGAACAGCTTTGATATATTTGTGTAACATTTAAAAAGAAGTACAAGTTTAAGTCTTAGTATTAATGCACTTTGTCTTAAACTMTTTATTCTTTTGGGTATAAGGCCAAGTCTACTTCACCGTACTATTTGTAAGTATGTCAAAAATTGTTTGTAAAAAATAAACTTTAGGTACACTGTCTCATTTTTAGTGTAAAACTAGTACTCGTAGTACACAAACTACTTTTAGCTAAGGGTAGTATTGACTGAGAGAATGCATGCAAGATCTCGTGTGATCATGTAACACTAAGAGTATGTGCTGATGATGCCTTTCAGCTATGACCACAACAGATTTTAGCTTAATATCTGTAAAAATAGCTGATTTATAGTCACTGAGGCTGCGGCGGCCATCTTGAATATGTTTGGCTCCAAAAGTTGATCAKTTGTAAACTTTGATGGAAATCTGTCCCCTGGTTCATGAGATATATTAGTAGCAACTACATTTTCAAAAACATCCGTCTCAAAGTAAACTAACTGGACTTTTATATTCTCAGATCCCGTTCACTAAAGACTGTGGATCAGACGAGGTGTGTGTCAGTGATCTGGTTCTCAGCGTGAAGACGAACACAAAGATTTCCAGGTAAAAATGACTGAGCTAGTACAGATTTTAATTCATGTTTGCTTCTTGTGCAACGTTCAGTTTGAGATGATCACCGTGTGAGGAAAAGACGAAATGAGCTGACCTGGGCTGATATCATCARCGTGAGGCAGAACAAGCTCAGGCAAAGCTGAGTTTTTCCTGTTCCTGGAAATCTTTTGTAGCATCTTCTGGCAAACGCTCTAAAGAAACGGATTTGTTTATTTTGTGAGAGATCGTCGTTGTTGTTGTTGTGTTGTTTTTGGTTTGAGGTATGTCGACTCAAACCTCCTGCCACTTTATAAACTATGTTTTTGGATCAGAATCTGATGACTTTTGTCTGTTTTTTGTTTGAAGTTGTTCAGTCAGACCCACACAGTCCTGATAATGGATTGTAGTCCTAACTGAATGATTGTTTTTTGTTATTTAACACAGGGATGTTGTTTTTCTCATGATTATCATATAGCACATGTTTAATATTAAAGCTGCTGTCTATAATGATTRGTTATCAGTTGTTATGGCACGTCATGCTGTAGCAGTTACTCGTCCCCATGGAAGGTGTGCTGAATTGACCCGCAGTGTAGATAATAACACACTCTCAGCCTTGCAGCTCTATAATTTATTGACAGAACAACAAATGTTAAGTGGTTATTATGTCTTGGAAAGGTATGCAGTAGAACAGAGGGGGGACAAAATGTCAGGATTAAACCAAATCTGACACGTCTTTGTTTAATGTTGTGCCGCCGAAATGCTTAACAACCATTACAGCATTCTCTATTTTCTGTTTTATGACAGTTTTAAATCACCAACAAGTGCAAAATAAAAGCCACACGAAACAGCTTGCAAAGTTTGTCCTACACATACTCGGTGAATTAACGAACATGAAAGGGTGTGAACATTTTTACAGAGACCGTGCAGCAGCTTCTAAAGCACTTGTGGTTTGACTTATTTTTTTTCTTGTTTGTGCAACTCCTTCCATTGGATTCCTCAATCTGGAGAATTTCTTGAGTTTGTGGCTTTCAAATTTTAGACATTCAGAGAAGATTTTTCTGTGTCTTTTGTCTTTTAGTTCAGCTCCCTTTCTGGTCAGCGCTAATAACCGAGGCCTGTCGTTTGAAGTTGCTGTGAGGAACAAGAAAGAAAATGCCTACAACACGCAAGTCTCCGCCACATTCTCCAGCAACCTCTACTACTCATCTGTCTCTCCTGTGAGCAGGAAAAAAAACTTTTGTGTTAATATGATGCAAATGTAAATTTAAAAAGTCCTGATTCTGTCTTGTTTAAATCTARATCCTGTAAAAGTTGTTTTATGGATGATATTTTTCCAGACAGATGCAGTGAAATGCACGGCAACACAAACAGATACTGTCACTTGTCAAGTTGGTTACCCAGTCATAAAAGAAGACCAAGAGGTGAGGAAAACATGAATTAGATTTAATGTTAAGTACAATTTTTTTTATCTGCTGCTTAAGGCAAGCAGTGAACACATTTTTTTTGTTTGTGTCTGCATGTATTTTTTTAAACATCTCATAAACCAGTGGATAGATTTAACAAAACTCTGGGAAAGTAATTATTCAGTAATTAGTCTAAATCTGACTGGCAAACATGAAAAGGACTAAATTTAATTAAAAATGGCTTAAATTTTGTCTTGCACAATACCTTTACTAAAAACTTAAGCTTTAACTGCTTTTGCTTTAGTCTTTTTTTGTTTATTAGCAAAATATTATGGACAGTCGTTTTAGTCAAAATACAATAAATAAATAAATAAATAAAT